ACACACTATGGTGTGCGCCTTAGGCATCTCTGAAAGGCGCGTATGTTAAAGGTTTTGTCCCAGCCTGTTGCACCTCTGTGAGCCAGTGGAACCTTTAGGAGGTAGGTGGAAGGACATAAAGTCACCAGAGGCATGATCTCAAAAGCAATGACCCGCCCTCCACCACTCGCTCCCTCCCCCTTCCTTTCCTCCTTCTCCTCCTCCCCTCTCCTTCCTGGCCACCATCACGGAAACACTTTTGCTCCTCCATGTGTTCCCTGCCATGACGGGTGGCCTCACCACAGGCCGGATCACCAGAGCCTACCAACCATGGACTGGACCTCTGAAACTGTGGGCCACAATAAACCTTTCCTCATTTAAACTGATTGAGGTATTTTGTCACAGTGACAAAAGCTAAGATCACATCTATCAGATACAAAGACAGGCACACGTTAATCATGGTATACATGGGAAGTAGATGCTGCCCACACATGGCAAGAAACAGATGAGTTACATGCCTGGGTGAGGGGCACAGGTGTCCAAATCTGTGACAAATACTCCCCATTTACTATAGCTTCTTACTTGGGATTTCACTGGCACTTGCAGGTTTTCTTTTTCTAAATCAGGAAATACTTAGCAGCCACATCTACATGTGTATGACTCTGCCAGCATTTAAAGCTCAAGGAAAACCACTAAAAGGGAGATTCAGCGAACAAGAGTGTCCTGTGTGCTGTCAGGCTCACCCTCAGTCCAGTCTCTGGAGCGCCCACCACACTGCTTGTGCCAACACAGGAAAGCAGTGAAAGCAGAGAGCTTCAAAGCACATCTTGCATCCTGCCCTCATCTAGGTCAAAGCACATCTCGCATCCTGTCCTCACCTAGGTCAAACTCCCCTTTCCTAGGTGGGAAACTCCTTCTCCCTCCTTTGCCACAAGTAGGCTTTGTGAAATACAGTGGGGCCTCGACTTATGAACTCACTTCTTTCCATGATTCTAGTCACAAATCAAATTGGGTGAGAATCAAATCAAATTTCTCCACAAAGTCAACATTGGCCCTAACCATTCAACTCGAACTGATTCACAGGTGGCTGATGGGCACTTGGGACATACTGGCCACAGCTGAAGGACTGCATTTCTTATTTCATTCAATTTAAATTAACTCAATTTTAAACTTAAAAACTGATTGTTTAATTTAGCTATTGGAAAACTCATGTATATGGAGCAACTTCTTCAACTGTAAATATGAAATCTAAATACAGTTCTGGCATTTCCAAAGAAAATTTAGTGTCTGAACTTAGATGGAAAACTTGGAAGATGAGTAGGAAAAAAGTATAAAATATCACATTATGAATATTTTATACTGTCATGAGACAAAAGGAAATATTTTAAGTATATTGTATGTAAATAAATGCATTATTCAGTTTGACCTATTTCTTTGCCTATATTTTATTTACTTATTCATTTTATTATATATTGGCAAGTTAGAATTATATATTTATGGAGATAAAGTGAAATAATGATTTTCATAAAATCTGAGATGATTAAGTAAAACCAATAAGCCATCAGACAGGAGACATTTTTGTGATGAGAGCGTCTACCATTTGCTCTCTTGGAAACACTAAAGTTGCACAGTGCTCCGTTATTAGCTGCTGTGGCTCGCTCACGCTAAACTGCTGAAATTCGCTTGCCAATGCGCAGGTGTTGGCAGGTAGCGCTGTTAAGCACTCAAGCCACGGGACGGGCTCCTACAGCAGTCAAGACTTCTTCCCTCCAGAGCTGGTTCCAGCAGTGTGCCTGACCCCCTGGCCTACTCTCTCTTTCATACACACCTGCCTGACTTCCGCTCCCCACCCTGAGTTCAAGCGGCAACTCCCCAAAGCCCAGCAGATGCAGCCATCTGACCTCAGGCCTCCAGCCTCCACATCTAGAAGCTAAGGATATCTCTTTTCTCCGTAAGTTACACAGGCTCGGGTATTCCACTGAGTTCCTTTCCTCTTGTTGCTGAGACAAATTGCCTGACGCCCAAAGTTAAGGATGGAAAGTTTTTTTAGTTCACAGTTTGTGGAGGTTGCAGACCGTGGTCAGCTGGATCCAAGGCAGGGTGGCAGATGGCAGAGGGCAGCAGTTCATGGCAGTGGAAAATGGCAAAATGGCAAAAGCAAAAAGGGAGGAATAGTGGCAGTGGCAGAAAGCAAGCCCCTCTCCCTTCTTTATATTGCATTAGGGCCCTCCACCCCAGGGCAGGTGCAGCACTCGCACCCATAACCCCAGCACTGGATCATGAATTAATCATAAATTCCAGAAGCCTGCCACAGTGACCGTGTGAGGCTTTGGGGGGACAACAACACACAAAGCATAACATCCATTATAGCCATAGAAAACGAGCTTAGGTATACCTGTATTCACCACACTACGTGAGATATTGTTTTTAAAACACCTTAAATTTATTTCTACCGTTGAACTGAGGTTGTGCCCCTTGCATTGCTAACACCCCCATTCCTTCCACTCTCCATTTTTGTTTCTTTAAACATGGCTCCCAGAAAATTCTTAGTTGCAAATTTTTCTTCTCTTGGTTCGCTACTCTAGATGTTTAATGTCCTAGGGATGATACTGGGTAGCACCTTGATCCAGAACTCCATTATCATCTGCTCTAGACTGGAAGCAAAAGATTCCTCCAGGCCATGCTCCAACCCCAAATTACTGTCCCATGTTAATAATCAGTGTGTCCCAGCTTGTCCTCACCCTTAGACCCCTCCCAGAATTCTTGCCGGCTCAAACCCACTCTGCCTCTGTCTCTTCCAGAGCTTCTAAAAGCCATTTGCCACTATGATCACATCCTCCTTGCAGCCATTTGTTGGTCTTTTCCCTTAGCACCAGTCTCTGACCTTTGCTGAACCATCCCTGTCCCACCATTTGTGGCCAGGGGAGAGGCCATCAAGCACCAGCTCCGCCAACACCATGGCATGGCCTTCACTCCAGGCCACTCCTACTGAGACTATTTCACCTGCTTTCCTCACCATCCCACCTTCTCTGTACCACTGGCCCTTCTCAGTGACCTGTGTCTGAGAAAGGGACAGGGATCTGCCCTGAGGTCTACTGAGGGCTGCTGCTGGGGAGAACAGCTTAAGAGGGAGAGAAATAGCATTAGGCAGAGAACAAAATTAATTGAGATATCCTTTCCACAGAGGCCACCTTCAGGAAACTTCAGGGCTGGGTGGTCCTTCGGAATCCCCTGGGATGGAAACAAGGAGTGGTGCTTTTTTAAAAACTGAATTTCTTATTTATTTTTATGTATTTAGTACAGGGTCTCACTACACAGATCGGACTCATAGTGATCCTTCCATTTTCAGCCTCCCAAGCACTGGGATTACAGGCACATGCCACCACCTAGTCTCAGCATGCTCCCAGATTGAACCCCAGTCCCTGTGTCTGTGTATTAACTCAATGGATCCAAAACTGGGGTACGCCCAACACCAGGAATGATATGTTAATCAGCTCTCTACCACTGTAACAAAATACCTGAGGAAAAAACCTTGTCAGGAAGAAAGATTTACTTTAGCTTACAGTTTCAAAGATTTCCACCCATAGTTGCTTGGTCCTCCATCTCTGGGCCTGTGGTAGACACAATGTTGTGGTGCAAAGCATGTGACACCACAAAGCTGCTGGCCTCATGTGGCCAGGAAGCACAGAAAGAGGGGAAAGGCTGGGTGTCCCAGTGTCCTCTCCAAGGGCAGCCCCCAGGGACCTATGTCACAGGCCCCACCTCCTGCAGTCCTGCCCCTCTCCCTGCAGCACCCTAGGCTGGCAAACAAGCCTTCAACACTTGCAGCTTTGATAGACAACCAAGATGCAAACAGTAGCAAGTGGCTGTCTGACTTACAATCTACCACTGCATAACTCCAAGTTCCTGTACTAATCCTATTTTCTGGGGCACCCTCCTTCTTGGTGCTCCTACTGAACTTCCCCTTTCCCCTGAGTTCTGTGCCTTTCTATGGTCTCTACTGATGGTTTCCATTTCCTCCATCACCTTCCCTTTCCTCCTCAGACCCAGCCTGTCCTCTCCACTTTGCTAAGCTCTCCCTCTATCTCACTCCCATCAGCCCAGCTTCTTCCAGGCAACTCCCAAATTCCCATCTCCTGCTACAGCCCCTCCTAGAGTCACCCTGACAACTGCATTTCCTGGGAACTTGGAAGGTGGCCTGCTTTACAAACTCAACTTGGCTCTCAAAAAGCTCAGCTTCACACCACTCCCAGCTATATCTAGAAACTCACAGTTCACAGCCCAGCCCTTTCCTAAGATTCCCCTCCACCTCCCTTCCACAGCACACCCAGCAAGCTCCAAAAACTCCTGTCCTCTGACTGATGCCTTTAGCCTCTAGATCAGGTCTTCATCCTGCAGGGACAATTGTAATAGTGTCTCTTGAGTCTTCTGCTGTGTTAGTCCATTTTCTGTTGCTATAACAAAATAACCAACACCAGATAACCTACAAAGTAGAGCAGTTTTTCTAGCTAAAGACTCTAGGGATTGGGAAGTTTCAGATGGGGCAGCTACCTCTGGGGAAGCCTTGCACATGTATCATACATGTGGAAGAAAAACAGAGGGGATGCAATTGCTTTTGAGAAACAGACACAAAGAGCCCTTCACTTTTCAACGACCTGCTTTTGGGTGTAACTAATCGTCTTGCCAGAATGTGAACTGAATTCCCAGAGAATTAACCCTGTCACCGGGAGCAGCACCAATCCCTCTAGAAGTTACCTCCACCTGTCTACACCATTACACTAGGACCACAGCCTAACACCAGCTTTGCAGGGGCAGCCCAGAGGACCCCCCTTATGTCCCCGGTTAGCACTTTCTTAGCAGCCCCTAGGTGGCCTAGGACCCTGGGCTTTCAATAGCCAGCGACTGTGGTTTTCTTTGCGTCAATGACTCCCTGGTAAATGGGTAATCTGCTCGCTAGAGACCGCTGAGAGAGCAGGAAAGCTTGGGTCAAGGGACACAGGAGGCCCCCCTGCCTGGGAGGGACGCAGATTCTGCTATCTGTTCTTCCTTTCTGCTCCAGTCTGGATCCCGAGGAATAGAAAACAGGACAGACCCACAGAAGGACAAGCAGAGCGCTGAGCGACTGCAGAAAGGCCCACTCCACATAGGCGAGGTTGCGGCAGGAAGCAGCGGGACCGGGACTGTGCTCCCCCCTCCGCGGGCGGGAAGGGGCGCGGCTGGCAAGCTGTGGGCGGTGGGAGGTGGGCGGGGTCAGCCCCAGCCCAGCCCCAGCTCCAGCCCGGCACTCTGGGCTCCACTCCTCGCCCTGCCGGCCGGTAAGTGAGGGCGATGGGTAGGGGACTGGGCGGACACCCCCGGGGCGCGGGGATGTGCAATGCTGCTCGGCAGTGCCTCAGTAACGGTGCCCACTGGGCTGCTGCTCGGCACTTGCGTCCAGTGGGGTGTGTGACTACCCTTGCTCAAAATGTGGCTCGCTTTGTCCACGCCGCGTCCCAGGAGCTGCCTCGTGTGCAGCTCCGGCCCAGATCTGGTTCTCCGCTGCAGTACCCCTTGCAAAACAGTGTTTGCAAAACGCTGGCCCTGCTCGGCCAGCCCGCTGGGCTGTGCACCAGTGGGAACAAGCTCCTCAGGCCCGGTCCCTGAACACACAGGGGGAAAGAGGAAGCATGCGGAAGGCTGTGAGTGGATGATTCCCCCAACTATGTCCAGTGCTCACGTGTGTGAATTGCCTGGAAAACGGAAAGGCAGCGCTGGGCAGCATAGCATCTGGAGTTGGGTCTAGACTGCTGAGTGTAAAAGAACTTGTCCAGACGTCTCAGTAACTTCACATATGGAACGTGTGAAGAAGAGAGCTCTGGAGAACTCCTAAATGCACTCCAGGGTGGAGGGTGGAGGTGGAGGGCAGAGAGAACGAGGGTACTGTTTGGGAGGGAGAAAACCTGTGTCTGATTTGTGTGCATGTGGACTGTAATGCAAAGCAGCTGTTGGCATCTGGAGACCTGAGTTTGGATTAGAATTTAGCGGTCATTATCCGGTCCCAGCACAGTTGCCGGGTCTCAGTCAGTTGCTTTTGTGTGTATGTTGGGACCAATAACTACCTTCCTGCCTATCCCTGGGTGGCTGGAGACACAAACTGGTAAACGCCTGGGTGCTTTGGGGCAGTTAAGGCTCCTGGGCTTGCAGCAGTGCTGCGGAGCACACAGGTGCACACTAGGGCTCTAACCAGGGCTGGTGGCCTGGAGCTGTTTGGTTGGTGGATGGTAGAGAGCCATTTGCATACCATGCCCTGTGACACTTGGCACAGCAGGGGTGTCTGCATGGAGACTGCTTTTGGACTGGTGGTGTGGAAATTATGCACAGGCCCAGGCAGTTTTCCTAGATTTTATGCAAATATCTTCTCCAACACAAGAGAAAAACTGTCCAAAAAGTAGGTGAGTATATGTGGATTTTTAGAATCTTCTGGCAACTTTTCTGTGAACCTGTAACTATTGTAAAATATAAATATTTTATTGAAAATAAAAAAAGTTGAAAGAAAAAATAATAAATTGCCCAGGGCACCTTGACCTTCCAAATGAACCAGGGACTTCACTGCCAGCACCTTGCTTTTGCATCAGGGCCAGCAGATGAAGCATTAAGGAGCCCTTGGGGTACTTTGCAGCCTGAAAGATAGAACTAAAAAAGCTTGCCCAACCTAAGCCACAGATCTAGGGATACAGAACAGAGTGCTGTCTTTTGAGGTTCGGAGCCTTCAGAGCTCGGGCTGGCCCTGGACCACACAGAGTTAGACAAAAGGGTATCAAGACTCCCACACAGACAGCACCAAGGCCAGAACGTGAGTGGTAGCTTTTCACTTTTGGTTGTCCAAGAGACTTCTCTGTAGGCAGCAGTTGCTTAATAAGCGTTTGTGGCAGGCAAGAGGCCAGCCAAGAGATTCTAAAAACTCTAGGGTCAGCTGCTGGCTGGGCTCTTTGCCTGATGTGTCCTGGGGAAAGTCTGTTTCCTCATTAAAGTCAAGGTATCTCGGGATTATTATTCTGACCTCAGCTTGTGGACCCTTCCTCAGGGCCTCTCCCAACTCCCCACCTAAAGCAACCACCTCATTGCTGATTCCTAGTACCTAGAACATAGTAAGTGCTCAAGAAATATAGTCATCCAACTGAGTAAGTCAAGAGGATGGTGCCTGCGTGTTTTTCTAATTGTGCTCTTAGGAGCTTTAATCTCCACAAGCAGGGCATCAGCAGCTCAGAGTCCAACTAATTACCTATCAGCTTCCAGATAGGATTCCCTCTGAGGAAAGGGTTCTACCAAAATAAAACTTAAAAGGCCATTATATCAGAAGACCTAAAGGCATGTTTTCAACTCCATGTTGAAATGGTGGAAATGGTATATAGAAGTTATACCTCCCTGGCACTCTGGGAGGACCTGCATGGGGTTTGTTATTGGAACGGGGTGTTGGGGAAGTTGATTCTAAATTCTTGGTGTGCTGAACAAAGAATTGAACAGAATAATCAGGAAAATTAGCAAGAGTAAGATTTATTGAGTAAGAGTAACAAGAGTGAGCAAAAGAAGTTCCTTCCACAGGGTGGAAGTCGGCCAGTGAGATGAACTCATGCCCTCCACAGGGGCTGGTACTGGGTATGCTGAGATCTTGGCATTTCTGAGGATCTGTAGGTGAGACTGGCAGCAGTCATGGCCCAGGTGGGTACCTGACCTGGCTCACCCACCCACTGGGAGGGGCATTTTTTTTTCAGAACCAAGGATTGAACTCAGGCACTTGAGCTTGCCAGGCAAATGCTTATTCTACTGAGCTAATTCCCTGACCCCAAGGAGGGGCATTTTTGACCAAACAGAATTTTAGAGAAAGTGTCATGCTGTCCAAAGCCCACAGTGGAAGGGAGAGTGGGTTAAACCATAGTACAAATGAGGATGGGCTCAGGCTAGAGTTGTGTACTTTTAGGTTGGCACGTGCCTAAAGGTCTTGAGGGACACAGGAGCGACCTTTACCTTTTGGTTTCTGGTATTCTGGCATGGTCATCTTGTCTGTCTAGTTTCTCATGTTTTGTCTCACAGCTTTCTGTTATTCACTCATCCTTGTTCTGTCTCCTACTTTGGGTTCAGACCCCAACTTGAGATTCTGAAGTCATTTCTGCTCTGCCATGGAATTCACCTTGTGGCCGTTTAGTGTGCCTGGCTTCATTCCACGGCCTTTGGCTCAAAGTTGATTTGAAAATGATCATACACAATGCAACAACAAGGGGTACGTGGTAATATTTGGTCATGTGGGATCAGCACTGGGCAGAAGAGGCTCTGAACATGCAACATATAACCCATGGTAATCGTGTCTGTCATTGTCTCCCTGACTGTATTGCCTGACTGAATGTCCAGTTGCACCTTGTCCCCAGTAGGCTTCCATCAGCATAATTTTTCTTGCACAGTTAGCATAGGGACAAACTCTTCCCTGAGCAGTGATTAAGCCCAGAAGCCAGGCATGTGGTGGAACCACCCCGACCCGTGCTTACAGCAGCTTCCAGAGGTTGCCAGGCTGACCTCCCTGTAAAACGTTCTCAGGTTGTTTCTTCCTATAAATACATTTGCAAATGGTAGCTGGAAGCTGTTGTGTCCAAACAATGCCCATTTTTTTTTTTTGCCAGAGTATAGTTTACCACAGCTTTTCCTAAATTCCAGAGGAGGAGCACTAAAGGCCATCCCCACTGTTCTGGTTTAGATCAAGAATGTCCCCCAAAGCCTCATGGGCTCTAAGGAGGAGCTTTTGGAAGGTGATCAAATCATGTCAGGGGGCAATAAAGCTGACTATTAGGAAGTACATGGTTGGGGATGTGACCTGGAAGGGTTTCTCTCACAGGCTCCTCCCTTCTGTTTCCTGGCTGCCCTGATGCATGCAACCTTGCTCTGCCATGCTCCTGTGCCATGCTGGCCAGGGACTATAAGTGTGAACCAACTGTCAGTGTTGTGTCTCAGTGATGAGAAAATTGACCAGGACACCCACAGTACAGAAGGAGGTGGCCTAACTATGTGGTTTTTTTAGCCTGGTTGTTGAGGTAGGAAACCATAGGAAGTAGAGAGAAGAAACAGGAGGAAAGCATGGAGCCTTCTGTTGACTCCTAAGGACTGCCAGCCTTGCTCCTTGAACGTCACCCTCCTTAGGCTGATTTCTATGGGTTCCCCGAGAACATGAAATCACAGTACAGACAAAAGAGGGAAGGGGTGGGTGGTCCATATACAATGTGCATGTGTTCACCCAATGCCTGTGAGGGGCTTTGAACTTACAGCTTCCTGAGAAACACCTAAACACTCAGTGCCTGCTGCTGAACTTTAGCTGTTTGTATTAAGCTCAATGTCAGGAATAGAAGAAGAAACAGCTGAGCTCAGGCTATGTGGCATGCGTCTAAACCACAGCTGGAACTTGAGGAAGAAGAAGACAGCCTGCGTGGGCAGCCAGTCCAGTCCAGCTGTGTGACCTGGCTCTGCCCCTTCCTCTTCATGTGATGTTGAGTGTGTTAGATGACCTTGCTAACGCTTCAGTTTCCCCATCGGTAAAATTAAGGAAATGATCCTTTAAATCTAGGGGAGGTAGATACGTGCCTGAGTTTACTACTCAGGGCTCAGCTTCACAGTGAGGCACAGATCTCCCAACTGTCCCCCAGACATCTGGGAATCATGGTGAAGGCCTCCTGATGATGAGAGGTGTGTTCTGCTGTTCTGCTGCATCTAGCACACCTCTCCAGGGGTTAGCCAGGGCATCTTCAGTCTCCCGCTGGCTGTGCCCCAAGCCAGCCCACCTCCCTGTGTCTCCCTGGGGTGCGTTTCCAGATGGCCCTGGAGTACTGGTGCAGGGAAATGCAGTTGCACCCCAGCCTCACCACCCCTCAGTGAGCAAATATCCATTTTTAGTATTAGAGATTGTTATAAATCCCAAGAATTGTGTATAGTAAGAGGGCCAGGAAATGTGAAGGAAAATCTCACTGGTGGTTTCCTTATCTGTTTTTGAGCCAGTGGGCAGGATTCCTTCTCTGATAGGTGTGGGGTCACCTCACAGTGACTCTCAGCCTCTTCCCAACTTAGTAATCATTCTTTCCTTCCTTTTTTATTCCTTCCAACATGGACCTCATGTCTTTAAACATTTTTGTCAGCCAACTTGCAACATATATGAACTATTTTTTTCTTTACCATAAAAAAATGAATCAAAGACCTGGTAACTCGTGGTTTGATTTTACTGCACTATCTAACTTTCTACTTTATATTAATTGCACTTTTAAGACATCTGTGCAGGTCATTTACAACTGGAGCCTAATAT